CTTCCTGGGAATCGGCTGGACTTAACTAGGTCTCAGATTTCGAGACGTGAGACCTCAGGAATCGTGGGCACGTGTGTGCGCCGAAGTGTGAGTTCGCACCCGCTACATAGAGGGCACTGAGGCGAGAAGGACTACGCACCTGGACGGGCCCTCCGCGTTTTGAGCTCACTTACCGGTTCTGGGCGCTGAGGAGAGGATGGCATTCACCCCAAATTTCAGAAACGTGGGCTCGCTGGCAGGGGAGACGGCGGTCTGCGGTGATCCGCCCCGCCGGCTGCCGGGACCGGGGGAGCCCAGGTCCGAGGCCCCTGTGTCCGTGAGAGCCGCCGGGGCCCCCTGCCTAGGGGGTGACAAGCTGGCCGTGGGCGCGCTGCGGGGCAGGTAGGCAGGGGGTCTGCTGATGCGGATCAGATCCTCCACCAGGAAGCTCGAGTGGCCGGAAAATGCCGACCGCAGGGACTGGGGCAGCGTTAAGGTGGGCGTGGGGCGCAGGAGGCTGGGGTACCCGGCGGGGGGCGCGAGGAGGCCGGGGAACATCATGTGAGGCGCGGGGCGAGCAGAATAACCCTTCTTCCAGTGGCCTGAGGGTAAACGCCTCGCCTCCCGCCCCTCCCGCCCCCGCGGTGCGCTCTCTCTTGGGCTTAGCAAAAGTCTCCAAGTAACGAACGATCCCACTTGGGCGCCTGCGAGTCCTCCGTGGTCCTCCCGTCGAGGTGATGGTTTTATAGTGGCCCGCCCGTTAAAGCGCTTTGAAAAGTGACAGCTCTGACAATGAAGTTCAACAAAGTTCTCCACTCGAGCTTCATTCGCCAGAGGCTCTGGGCACTCTGATTGGCGCAGGGGTGCAATTTATGATTGGATTAGTCTTCATAAGCATCGCCCGCACAATGGGCCGGCAACAAAGGCTGGCGCGCATCAGTTCTGCATATCGACCGCCTCTTTGCAATACAGTGCACCCCCAAAGCTCTTGCCGGGAGTTTTTGTTCGGAATCCACACCCAGGCTAATTAAATGCCTATTTAGAAGTTTCAGATGACATCTTGCCTCATAGAAAAGGAATTATTTAAAGAACGCACTAAATTTATTTGCAGCTCCCCTGCTGAGCCCTGAAAATAAATCAATAAATATTCATAGAAATTCATCTCCAGGCAATCAGTAAAACATCCCTCCCCCTTTTGGGGAGGGCAATGGACAATTTCGAGTCAGTGAATGTGAAAATATACTCCCTCTTCCATCTCTAGCCCTGTACATTACTGCATCTAACGGGTGATTTAAGTCAATGTGCATATGTGTGTGTGTGTGTGTGTGTGTGTGTGTGTGTGTGTGTGTGGATGGAATGCCACTCTAACAGCCCAGGAAGACTTGAAATTAATACTTTGGGCTATTGGATGTTTATCCATAGCGGTGGGAGGGGGAGGCCTCAATTTGAGTTATTTCATTATGGTTGAGTTTGAGAGAGTTCGTGGATACCTGAATAGTGATATGAGTTTCCTTATGCAAACTGCTAGTAACTTGAGAAACGAATTTCAGCGACATTCCTCTAGGATTGTCACCAAGGAGCGCGTCTCTGCTCATCTAGGGTAAGAGCCAAGGGGAGCACCTCACTGGGGCAAGGCAGCAAGATTTCACTTGCAAAGGGCTTACTTCTGCCAGAAGCTGCCTCAGACAAGGTGACCAGAATGCTGTGAGTGCTATGCTGGCCCTTTTTCCAACTTCAAGGAGCCTTAGGCAGTTTTAGTTCAAACTCACAGCCTGAACTTTTAACAGCCATAGCAGCAACTGTTGGCATTCGTCTGGAGAGAGCCCTACCCATTGCGAAGCGCTTAACTTAGTCTCAATGTTGCTGCTGCTTAATTGACTATGACACACAAACATGTGAAAACAGAGCAAAGGACGCGTTTCCCAAGAATGCTGGTCCACGTCAGGAAAGCCCATCATTGATACGGGGCCTCAAACGAGAATCTTCCCGCAGACAGCCTTTCCCTTTCCTCTGGGTTGGGGTTGGGTGGCGCTGAGCCTCGATTCCCCTGCTTCTCTGCTCCGCGTGATAACAGATGTGTTAAATGTCCCATTCATTTCTTTAGTGTGGCTGAACCTCCCCAAAGAGAAGTGTGCAGCCCCGCCAGGCCGCTCTGATCCTATTAACCATGAACTAACTGTCACCTTCAGCTGGTTTTCCTTTCTGCTTTTTAACACAAAGCTTTCTCAAAAATCTTATTAACCAGCTTTATTTCTCTCGATGGTTTTGTTCAGGGCGTTTTGTGTTGATGATCTCCATGTCGCTGCTTTAACCATTCAATAAAAGTGCATCTGCGATTTATATCACATTAAACCAGAAACGGAGCCTGCTAAAACTCTCCCTTGATTCAAATTAAAAAGTTATTTAGGGCCGGGCTCTGGAGCCAAATTAATGCTTGAAGACGACGCAAGCATTGGCGTTTCTGCGCCCACGACTGCTTATGGAGGCGTACTGGGCAGCAGGCCGGGGGAAACTTATAAGGAGAGGAACAATTTTTAAATAAATGACTATTTATATACGGAAAATGCATTGCTCGCGTTAATTGGCGACCCCTGGAAACGGAAGAGGGAGATCTGTGAAGAACTTCAGTTGTTACTCTTTTTGAAGTTTTTCCAATAAAATAGGGGAGAAAAAATCTAAACCACTTGAACACCTGTGCTTTAACCTTACCACGAAGTTTTCCAACACAACCACCACCTCCCTCCCTAACTGCTTTCCGGAAACTGGAGGACTGGCTCTGATTTTTGCATTATCTCTTTCTCTTCTCACCCACCCTGCCCCACCAGCAGTGGCCAGTTCTAGGAAGGTGGACGGACTTTCTTCTTTTTTTTTCTTTTTGAAATAGTTTTACGAATTTTAATCAAAGCAAATGTGTTATAACCGTAGTCATAAAATCAACATTACCACATAGACAAAGGAAAAAACACCAGTTTGGCATACAAAAATACCATGTATTAAAATTGAGTTCATTGGAAAAACTCAAGACCTGCTATGACACCATCTACAACAGAGAGAGACTACAGGTGTTACGTTCCCATCTAGAAATCGCTTGCCCGATCTTCTGGAAGATCAGAATAAAGTCTATGTGTGCAAGGTTTTGTTTTGGGGGCTGGTAAAGACTCAAAGTCAGTTCTGGACCTTCCTAGCGTCTCCCTTCCCTAGGCCTCTTCTCCTGCTGGGACATTTTCCTGGGTATAGCTTTTACAGTTATTATCCTGCCCACTGACATACTTCATAACCCTCAGCCCTTCCCGTCCGATCGTTCTATCTCACGATAGATTAACTGCTGCTAACTTCTCTTAAAAGGGGGCGCTGAATTTTTTTGGAAGGTGGGTCAACCCCTTGCTGCGACCCACGTGGACCCCACTTCCAGCGGTCCGTAAGTAATTCCTAAGTCACCAAAGACGAAAAGTGAGGGCGGGGGAGAGGGCTGGCCGCCCGTGAAAAGGCAAAATAAATCCTGAGGAAGCAAGAAATCGAACGAAAGGATCTTACTTTAAGTGATCTCCTTGAACGGGTCTTTTGAAACTCCTAGATAGCCTAAGGGTCTGAGCAGCGCGGCGGCTGTGGCTAAGACCTGTGACTAATGCCGTTTGACCTGAGCGCATTGGGGTTTTGTGCGTCCTGCCATTCATTGTAATGTCGTTATCTCCAAGTTTATTTCAGAGAAGTCATTCGCGCGCCCTCTATTCCAGAGCTGAGCTTTCTGTTTCTCTTTCAAGGGAAAAGAAGACGAGAAGGGAGAAGAGAATCGGAGGCCCTGGTTGGGGTTAAGGCCTTAGCCTGTGCCACGGGTGCGACTACTAGGCCAGCCGGGGCTCCCAGGGTCCCCCTGGACCCGCAGGAAGAGCTCCCGGAACCTGCTCTGGGGGTTTCTTTCCCCTGGGGCGGTGGAGAGAGGGAGGGTCCCAGCCTCCCGCGCTGCGCTTTCACTGCCGCACTTGCCTCTCCAGCGGGCGGAGCCGGGAGTGCCTCGGGGAAGCGCAGGCCAGAGAAAGAGGCGAAGGGCGCTTATAAGCAGGGAGCTACTGGAGATTTCGGCCCTCCAAAAAGATGACGAGCTTCTGTTTGGGGAGGTTGGGACCTCAAGGTCGAACTTTGCAAGGGTTCGAACTCCCAGCCCACGGCGCTGCGGGCTGGAGCTGCCAACGCTTTGATAGCATTTTGCAAGTTTGGCAGGAAGCCGGGCAGAGGCGAAGGGAAAAGCACCGTCGGCCTGGTTTTCGTGGTCCTGGGGAAAAAGGGAGCTGACCCGCTAGGCAAAGGAGGAGGGCGGCGAGGCTCCGGCTGAAAGAGCTTTCCTACCGCCCCAGCCTTCTAGGCAAGCCGCTCTATTAAGACACCTCTAACGGTTCACCTTTAGAATAGGCCACAAGGAACTACCGGCCGCCCCAGCCCTTTCTAGCGTCTCCCCTCACCCCTCTCCCTCTTCCCTCCCCCAACCCCCCCCCCCAACCCTTTTCCTTGAAAATCCTTCTATTGTGCCAATCAAGCAGATGGTTTGCAGGAAATATAGCTTGGCCTCGATGACCGAAACTAATTTTAACTAGCTTTCCAAGCCTGAAACATTTGTTTTGCTCTTACAAAATAGCCCCCAAAACAGCTGGCAAGGGTGAATTAAACCCATTAAAGACACATTTATAAGAAATTATATTCACATAGATTGCCCGAACCCCCTTGTGCAGCCTAAGAGGGGAGATGAGCGCATTTAAATGAAAATGTCGCCAAACCGCTCTCCTCCTTAACGTAGCCTGAAAGTCTCAAAACATTTTACTAAATAGATTAACTTGACTATTGTCTTGCATCACATTTATCAGCTTCATTAAGTGAATAGCTGAACAAATATATTACGCATGCATGAAAAGCTCTTTTTCGAGGAGACTCATTGTATCCTCAGCCCTGACAGGTGGTTAACTGTGTGTTGTGTTTTTTTGTGGGTTTTTTGTGTTTTCTTTTTTCTTTTTTCTCCTTTTTAACCCGAAGAAAGAGGATCTCTGTAGAGCAGCGTGGCCCGTCCACTGTGCCGTTTTGGCAGGAGTTTAACTCGTTGCTTGGACCCTGCAGCCCAGAGATTTTAGCGCCAAGAGGTCGGCAACGGTGATCTAAGCACATTCGAAATAATCAAAAATAAAACTCTCAAGGCCCTGCTTTTGATGAGCTGGGCCTTGAGAGTTTTATCTCTCCATCATCCCACCCTCCCCCCCACTCTTGTGTGGGAAATATGCTTTTCAGAAGCTGATATTTCCCTCCCTCTCATCTTAAAAATAAATTCCCTTTGCTTTTCCTTACTAACCGGCTTCAGATTTGGATCCATTTCACTTTACTGTGTGTCTTTAGGGAAAGTCCTGTCCCTTGGGTCTCAGTCCCTGTGTATAAAGGGAGGGGTTGCCCTAGAGAGCCTTTTCAGATCTGATCTCGTAGGGTTTAAAAACTCTGAACTCTCTATCGCCCCACCGCGGGCCCCAGCGGCTCTCAGCCTCTGGCTCGGGAGGACCCCCCGAAGGTCAGCATTTCCGGGTGCT